AGGAAGAGAGGTCGGCTAATTTAAGATGTGGTTCTGTCCTACATTCAGACAGCTTTCAGCTCTTGTTGGAGACACCACAAAGGAAGGAATAAATTAGTAATGACCTCACACAGGGCAAAAGAAACAGGCAACGTGAGGAAGACAGTAAGGATGACAAACAGATTTGGCAAAAAGACACATGCATTTAAGACACTTAGAATCATTAGATTACAAAATAAACCAAGTGTGTAAACAGATGCTATTTTCTGAGCTATTGCAGCTGGTCTCAAGGTAGATGTATAACATAGGCCCAAAGGCAGTGAAATGCTTTAAGAACAGAAAAAGACTGTAAACCAGGTCAAAGGTCTATCAACAAGCACACATGCATGTCTGAACACAACAAAAATTTGGTTCTCTTATGTTGCCCTGTTGCTCAGACTGAGCTGTGATTGGCTGTGGGATGCAGAGGGTGGGTATTAAGAGGATCGTTGACCAATCCCTGCTCACCTTGTCATGTTTGGTTTCATTCGAGTTGGCTTTTGCAAATTCGTACCATCTGTACTTTTAAACGACTAAATTAGCAGGATTTTCCTGTAGCTGTCACTGACATGAAACGTTTAATCTGCTGATATATGCAGGGCTGGTTTCTCAGATCCCAGTCCTCGGTGAAAGAGGATTTTCAGTCAAGGACATGGGACATTGGTGTCTAATCTGGGAATAAGCTGTCTCTGAAGCAAATCTGACTGACCATTGCATTAAAAAAAATACATAAACATTCATCGACTGCAAACCGTATCCTCGCTGATGACTTTAGGACTTCCAGGGTTTTTGAAACTGCTTGGTTTCACTTCTTAAAAATGAAGCAAATCTCCATATAATTTTAGAGACTGCTTTAAGACCAACCGGCGGTGAAGTATCATCCACGTGTCAGCTGTCAACCCCAACTTCTAGTAGTTCACAAGTTCAAGTAAACATTCGCAGAGGTCAGAGAGTCTGTACTTTTCTTCTTAAAGTCAGCACGAAATAAAAATTCACCCTATCTATTTTTCAAAAGCATATTATACACTCTCAGAAAAAAAGGTACAAAAGCTGTCACTGGGGCGGTACCTTTTCAAACGGCACACCTTTGTACCTAAACAGTCCATGTTAGTGCCTTAAAGGTACATATTAGTACCTAAAGTGTACATATTAGTTCCTAAAAGTACAAAAAGTGTGCCTTTTGAAAAGGTACTGCCCCAGTGACAGCTTTTGTACCCAGACATTCTGGAGATGTTAAAGCGAGCGTGTGCAGGTGTGTGTGTGTTTGCACCTCATACTGGTTTTAATTCAGCATCAAACCCCATTTGACTCCTGTAAAAGCTGCCTGACCAATCACGTGTAAGCTCGGAGCTCTCAGCCAATCACAGCTCAGCTCAGTGCAGAGGCCGGCCACACAAAGAGCTCTTTGTAGCTGAAAGTCTGAGTATAGTGTACAAAAAGAATCACGCACACCTAAACACAAATACAATAGACGCAAATCAAACAGGACAGACAGTGTTTGCACTGCCGCTCAAGGCCGTCAGGCTGATATTGTGTGTGTAGTTAGCAGTGTACTTCAGCGATGAAGCAACGCTGACAGAAACCCACAATTCACTGGGATGTGAACCGGTCGTCTTTCATTCTTCACTTCTGTCTCTCATGGGCTCGATGTATGGCCTCTTTCTCTCGGTCTCTACAGACCTGGAGCCTCTTTCTTTAAAACTACATCAGTCATGCTTGAGTGAACTGAAGGGAAGAGAGAGGAAGAGAGGTCGGCTAATTTAAGATGTGGTTCTGTCCTACATTCAGACAGCTTTCAGCTCTTGTTGGAGACACCACAAAGGAAGGAATAAATTAGTAATGACCTCACACAGGGCAAAAGAAACAGGCAACGTGAGGAAGACAGTAAGGATGACAAACAGATTTGGCAAAAAGACACATGCATTTAAGACACTTAGAATCATTAGATTACAAAATAAACCAAGTGTGTAAACAGATGCTATTTTCTGAGCTATTGCAGCTGGTCTCAAGGTAGATGTATAACATAGGCCCAAAGGCAGTGAAATGCTTTAAGAACAGAAAGAGACTGTAAACCAGGTCAAAGGTCTATCAACAAGCACACATGCATGTCTGAACACAACAAAAATTTGGTTCTCTTATGTTGCCCTGTTGCTCAGACTGAGCTGTGATTGGCTGTGGGATGCAGAGGGTGGGTATTAAGAGGATCGTTGACCAATCCCTGCTCACCTTGTCATGTTTGGTTTCATTCGAGTTGGCTTTTGCAAATTCGTACCATCTGTACTTTTAAACGACTAAATTAGCAGGATTTTCCTGTAGCTGTCACTGACATGAAACGTTTAATCTGCTGATATATGCAGGGCTGGTTTCTCAGATCCCAGTCCTCGGTGAAAGAGGATTTTCAGTCAAGGACATGGGACATTGGTGTCTAATCTGGGAATAAGCTGTCTCTGAAGCAAATCTGACTGACCATTGCATTAAAAAAAATACATAAACATTCATCGACTGCAAACCGTATCCTCGCTGATGACTTTAGGACTTCCAGGGTTTTTGAAACTGCTTGGTTTCACTTCTTAAAAATGAAGCAAATCTCCATATAATTTTAGAGACTGCTTTAAGACCAACCGGCGGTGAAGTATCATCCACGTGTCAGCTGTCAACCCCAACTTCTAGTAGTTCACAAGTTCAAGTAAACATTCGCAGAGGTCAGAGAGTCTGTACTTTTCTTCTTAAAGTCAGCACGAAATAAAAATTCACCCTATCTATTTTTCAAAAGCATATTATACACTCTCAGAAAAAAAGGTACAAAAGCTGTCACTGGGGCGGTACCTTTTCAAACGGCACACCTTTGTACCTAAACAGTCCATGTTAGTGCCTTAAAGGTACATATTAGTACCTAAAGTGTACATATTAGTTCCTAAAAGTACAAAAAGTGTGCCTTTTGAAAAGGTACTGCCCCAGTGACAGCTATTGTACCTTTTTTTCTGAGAGTGTAGATCTGATTGTACATTTTTTATTTTTATTTTTATTTTTTTATTGTTTTTATTTTTGACCTCGTAATTCTTAATCAAAATGTCTTCCAGTGAAAACGACAGATAGAGATTTTCTAATTAATCTAATTCATGTTATAGATCTTATTAAGGACAATTCATCCATGCATGCGTTTCATTTTTTTGTTTTGACCTTGTAATGTGAAAACGACAGACTTTTCTCACAATACAGAAGAGAAATCGCTACTTGATGCTTTCATCGCAACTTTATATTGTTCGACGTATTTCTGAGCAGTGTATCATGCAGAAAACATTTCATTTCTGAGATCTGATGCTTTCTTATAGTACCTTTTTGTAGACATTTAAGAAATCATAATTGAAAAAAAAAACATACTGATTGAACAAAAATCAGTAGGTTGAGGGTGTTTATGGTGGCCCTGTGTGGTACTAACATAATGTTTTTGACATGCTAATACCATTATGCTGACACCATACTGTTTTGTAAGAGTATATAGACACAATTTGTCTTTTTTTGTTTTGCATTTTTTTATATTTGCAGCCAATTGAAAATGTATCCCTTAAAACGGTGTTCTACTGAAACAGGGAACAATCCATGATATATATAGCATGTCTTCAAGGGAAATGCCTTTGTTTAGTGTGCTGAATGCAGTCTAATTGAGACCATATTCCCACTGGACACAAAACCCACACTCATGCACATACTAAGAATGTAAATACAATTCAGCGGAGGTTATATTCCCACCTGACAGACTAAAACACACATACACAGCAGTCCCTGGAGAAACCTTAGAGTATGCATGAATAGCTGTAAGTTCAGACAGAGGAAATGTGACTGAAATTATACATTGTGTTTCACACTTACAATACAGCAGGCTGAAACTCAGCACCGCCAGCAGTGCACCCACCACCAGCACCAGCATGAAACGGCTCCGTGCCAGCATTGTCCTGTGATTGGTTCGGACGCCTGTCCATCAGCCATACATGCACAGCCCCTGTCACCTGGGAAATTAAGAGCAACGGAAAGGTAATATTGCACACATATGAAAAACACTAAATGCATGCAATGCTTAACAAATGTTGAGATGCTACAAGGACAAAATGCTCAACACAAACATTGTAATGAAAACCCCACAATGCTGGTTTCTCTTTTATATGCATATTGCAGCAAAATACACCACACAGGACAGACAAAGTCTGGTGAAACACAAACTGACAAACCTACACACTGCACCAAGAGGCAACGTGTAATTTACCCTGGTTGCACAGAAGCAAAAACTGCTATTAACTCTAAATACAGATAATAGCTGTGTCTTTAAATTCCTACATTGAGCTTTTTGAGCGAATCTGAAGTGCACACGCAAACATGCACAGCTGATGAACTGAGCAGATGTTGAAAGTCGCCAGAGAGTATTAAACCACCTCCTAGACTACACCCTCACTCCTCTGCATAAAAACAGATATGCATTGAAATTTGCAAAATGGGACACCACACCAATATTTCAGCTGCGGTTTGAGTTCATCACCTTTTTTGCTGTTGGTATTGCTTAAATATATCCCCTTGCAGCGTGACATGCTTTACTCCATCTAAAACTAGTTTAACTTTCTCTGTAATTATTATTCATGCAGTTTTATGGTCTTATTTTAAAGGAGAGATGACATGAAATATTAATGCTTTTCAAATTTGTCACACAGCGGGATTATTTAAATGAACTACTGAAGGCTAAAACAATTCAGAAATGCATTTCATACAATGACTTGAAAACACACTCTTCTATAATGAACATGTTTTAGGTTTCTGAAATGAAAAGAACCATTTTGTCAGTTCTATAGATAATAATCATTACAGTGTCTCAAGGTCATCAAGTTCATAAATTTCACATATTGGACCTTTTTTATAAAAAGGCATGTTTTGCAAAAAAAAATTAAAAATTAAATGCGCCCTCTGATTGGTCCATCGACAGAGTGAACTGTAAGCGCGTTTGCGTAGCAGAATGTGTGTGTGAGAGCGTACGCGAAGAAGGTGAAGTCCGCGCTGGGCAAACGTGCACGTTTTTAACTCCCTGATGTGACCTGCCACTTGGATTTTGACCCAGATCAGTGATATGTAATCACCTCTTCACCGCACACTCACTTTCAGACCAACTATTGAAGAAGTGACGACCGTGGATCGATCAGCGGGGGTTTGTTGGAGGCGAAGAAGCCGCGCCGAGGCGCTTTGAGGTCGTTAAAGTCACCAGTAACGAGCGCGCCTCGCACCCTCCGCATGAGCACCACACGGACATTAACACTGCTGCCCAGTCCGGTGCATCCCGGAGAGCATGAGCCGAGATGAGCCAGAGAGACACGCTGGTGCATCTGTTTGCTGGAGGGTAAGACAGCTTTACTCATCAAGATTACTTTACATTAACAAACATAGCGTTTAAAACTTAAACAGCTAAAGTCTAGTACTACTACTAACAAAAATACTAATAATAGCTAATTGTTATTATTAGAATTTATTATATAAACTATTTCATATATATATATATATATATATATATATATGAAACACAGCTATATTAGTTTAAAGGATATAAAATATTTTTTGGAATAATTTCTTGTGTTTTTTGTCTTTATAGATAACTTTTACTTATGTTTAAAAGGTTACATTTACTGGAGTTTGTTGGAGTTTTCCCTAGACTTTAACTTCCCCTTTGAGTCTTGTGTATTAAAATTAGGGAAAGTTTGCACTTTTCGCATGAACATATTTTCAGATCCTTTGTTATGTATGTGTATTAGGGATATGCCGGTATCAAATTTTCATGTTGCGATTAATTGATAATGCTTTTATCACGGTATGGAACTGGCAGCTGTTATAGATATAATGACTCTTATTATGTGACTTTCAACACAATCTTCACTTAGTGAGTCACTGATATATAGACATTCAGCTTGATTCTGAATCAGACAGAAAATCAACAAGTACAAACAAACCTAAATAAAAACGCATTGTGGTTTGCAGTATAACTGTGCATAATTTAGCACCGCCATCCCAAGAGACCTTGAATTCAGCCACACTGATGTTTATATTACAGTCTATATAGGGAGAGAAACCTCAGGATATTTGCATTCTTTTTCTTTAAAATATGTCTCTAGACATAAAAAGTAGGGCTGTGCAATTTATCGAAATATCACAAATGTACATATCGCAATATGCATGTCGCTACGGCTTGCAATATTTGGGGCCATGAACAAAAGACAAAGAGAAAATCACTCACTGGTCTTACCTAAATAACTTTTGTAGCTTAAATAAGAATCAGTGCATATTGAATTCAAAGAGTAAATAATATGCAGTGTTTTATTTTTCCTTTTTATTATTCAGTTCCTAAACTCATGTTAAAATGATTACACTAATGTTAAAATGACATTTTTATGTAATATTAGAGTAAAACACTACCCTTCACTTTCAGAAGTTGTTGTAGGGGTGCTTTCTTATTAGAATCAGAATCAGAATGAGCTTTATTCACCACTTAAGTGTGCGCAAACACAAGGAATTCGTTGAGAGTAAAACACTACCGTTCACTTTCAGAAGTTGTTGTAGGGGTGCTTTCTTCTCACAAAAAGTGAAACATGTATGCTAGTTATATTAGAATCAGAATCAGAATAAGCTTTATTCACCACTTAAGTGTGCGCAAACACAAGGAATTTGTTGCGGTTTTACAGGAGCTCTTGATACATACGAATAACCATATACAGTATATATGACACAAGATAGTTATAGAAGTTCACAGAACTGACTCAGCAACAGCTGAGTAAAACTGTTTCATCAGTTAAGCATTATCGTATCGAATATCGCATTATTTAATGAGTTATTGCATATCGCATTTTTCTTCAATATGGCACAGCCCTAATAAAAAGAAAAATAAATTAAATGGAAGGTTTAAAGCTTTATTCTTTACTTGAATCAAAACGGTAATAAGTTCGTTTAACAGCAATTACGTGTTCTTATAAATGACAGTCATAGTTTTCTGGAACTGATCTGTTATGGTAGTCTGCTTTCCTGAACATGCATGAGGGAATCATCATGCCTGGCATTGATATTCTGTGCCCATCGTGATTATAGCCTGTGCTTTAAATATCTGTCCTCAAATAAACCAGCACAGTGTTTAAAATAGAACTATTGACTGGCACTCTCATGGACTCTCTGTCTATATGACACTGTCAAATCTGACTTTTTATCCCATCATTATGTCCCATCTACTCCTGTTATTAGTAACTGCACAGTATCGCATACCATTTTTATCTTACAGTGTTTTCATATATGAAAATAATTATCAAATGTACCATGGTATTGCTATATGATACTGTTTTTTACATGTATTGAATGACACCTTTGTTTAGTTTATTATCTTTATCTAATAAGCTGTTCCTCAGCAACATTTCTGTAGCTTTAGATTTGTATTACAGGTATCCCACTTCAGATTTCAGATGCCGTTTTTCCATTGGAAAACACTGATGTCAGGTTGTTTTCGGCACGTGAGGGGTGGTTTGGATTACTGTGTTTGTTGACCCACATCTTGTGGCACGAGTGCAAGTGCTGGAGCCGATTAACGGAAAGTTGTGATGTTCGACTGAAGTCTCTTGGCTTTCAGATAAGAAGTCATGGGATGACTCACCCACATTGTGAGGTCAACTTTTGTCTGCTATTGACAGAATTTGACCATATTTTCAGCTTGATTTCTTTGAATCGATTCTTATGTGCAGAAAAAGTTAAATTGTACTGTCCCTGATTTTTTTGTTTTGTTTGTTTCTCTCAGATGTGGAGGCACGGTGGGTGCGATCCTGACCTGTCCGTTAGAGGTGGTGAAGACGAGGCTTCAGTCTTCCTCAATAACACTTTGCATCTCTGAGGTGCATCTGAGCACAGTTAATGGAGCCAGCGTGGCACGTGTGGCTCCTCCGGGGCCCCTACATTGCCTCAGGTATGTTTAAACGAGTTAGACCTCTTTGCATTTTATAAATATATAAAATATATTAGCTCAACAAATATTATATATATAAATTAATTTATATTATAATATCTAAAAATATTTTATATAATGATATATGAAATTGTGCAAAGACACAGGTTTATAATTATGTACAGGAGTGTTGAATTTGAGTAAAGATGAGAATATTTACTCATCTGATTTAACATGTCGGTTTTAGTTCTGGATACAGGCAACACCCTGTACTGGAACAGTGCAAATGTTACATTTGCATTGTGAGAACGTTGAGTCTGCTTTGCATTGGCTCAGTGTTTTGTAAACATTTGCTCAATGGTTTGTGGGCCTAAAACCAAGTATCCATCTTCCCTGCAAGAGGAAACGCCCCCTTTCTGTCGACTCGTTCCAAAAAATGTGGTCATATTTCTTCACTTACACCACCAGAAGTAACTAAATAAAGTCAGAAGACAAGACAAAATAAGGAACGTTGGTTTGCAATCTTAAGAGTTTGAGTTGTGGTTGGTTCTCCATATGTAATATATAAGTATATACATTACCAAAGCAGAACTTCAGTGTTTATACAACGCATATTGCATAATGTCTATAATGCCCTCTCTCTGCCTATTTCTTTCTGTTTTCTTTATAAAGAGACTGTTCACAGTGGTTTCCACTCCCCCTTACCCAACCAATCGCTGCCCTCACACTAAAACACTGGTGCTTGGCTCTCGGTTGAGGATTCTGTGTGTGTGTGTGTGTCTGAATCACTGGTTCTCAAAACAGGCCCCTTGTCCTCTTAGTTTAACTCTGGTTATACTTCACAGAAAGGTACCAAAATACTAAACACAAAGACATTTAGATCGACTTTGGTCTCGTTTATCAATGTAATACGGTGAGTAAATGATTCTGACATCATATACACTCCTTCATGGTTTATGGTTGTTACGCAACTTGTCCATGTTGGCGTAAGTCTATTTTGACTTTTTGACACCTGACGTTGCATCCAAGTATTGTAGACTTTGATTGAACGCATGTCTTTTGACGTCAGCAACAAAAGGTATGGGAAGTGTTTTCACCTCCTTTTTAAAAGTTGATAAGTCTGTTTATTTTGCTATACAGACTATGCCCAATTACGCCCAATTACATGGGTAGCTGTGTTTTATTATTTCCATTTAGCATTGTTCTCTTCTCTTGCCTGATGTCCATGACCTTATGTGGCACATTTTTCTGTCACAACACTCCAGTTGAGAACCACTGGGGTTAAAGATTACATGGAGTATTAGGATTGTATTTAATGAAGTCCGTGATAGAATATAAATAACTTTTGCATGACCTGCTCAAGGTCGCCATTCATTTGATTTCATTTTTATTTAGCGTTTCTTTATGACTTGCTTATATACTGTATGTGTGTGATGACAATAACCTCTCACACCTCACACAAGAAGCATTTTTTAGATGCGTCTTAGGTATTTCTTTGTTTGAACATGTTGTTCAGAGGTGTGTCTTATTGGCCGAGCGAAGGATTAAAAAAATATTTTGGTGATTCTCACAAAGAAATGTTTGGGTTATATTTCATTCCAAAACAATTCTTTACAAAGTATAAAAAATGTATAGATAAATCTGTTTTCATAATCAAATTGTGACCTGCTTATAGGGCCAATACATTTTATTTGGTGTAATTTTCATAACAATTAAGCACCCATTTTTATCTATAAATATACTTCAACAAGCAATATTATTATTTTTGCATAAGAAATAGTTTAATTATAAGTTTGCTTGAATTGCTTAATTGTTATGAAAACGAAGTCACAATGAAAAAAAAAAAACTTCAATGTTCCTAAAATAGAATTCATTTTCATGCTCAATAAAATGTTATATTTTTTTACCATTGATTTTTAGAGTGAAATATAAGACATACATTTCCCCAGGAACAACATTACATGTTTTACCAACTCCAGAGTGTATTTATAATGTTCACAAAGCCATTCAGAATAAAAATGTCATTTGTCTTGCACTGCTGTTGATATGTTTATCTCTGTCTTTTTCAGATTAATTCTTGAGAAGGAAGGGCCTCGTTCTTTATTTCGGGGCCTGGGGCCCAATCTAATTGGAGTGGCTCCTTCACGGTGAGTGTTTGTCCATTCATACAGTTAAAATGGCAGATCAATACATCTCTATCTCAGCGAGCATTTACAGTAGGAACGTGTAGTCCTTAACTCTGTGTACTGAAGTGACAGTGAATCAGATGCAGTGCGACTGATGCAATCCCTGCTCAACCGGTAAAGCTGCAAATTTACAGAGCTTGGCATAAACGCGCAGACACAAGTCTGTATTCAGGGTTATTTTACAGGTTGTCAGACATCAGCCATGCAGGGTGCAAATTTGGGGGAACCTGACCCCACAATTAAAGGGATAGTTCACCCAAAGATGAAAATTCTGTCATTATTTAATCACCTACATTTTGATGACTCAGTGTTTTTTTTTTTTTTCTGTTGTTTTGGGTGGACTGCTCCTTTACGACAAATAAAGTACAAAAAGTAGTTTTCAATAAACATTTACCACTGAATTTATAATCGGCGTAAAGGTGATCAGATGTGTTTTTCAGGCCATTAAAAGTGTCTGAGCTCATTTAACACCAGTTGAATAAACCAGGTGTTAAATCCTGTACTTTTATGCCACTCCAGCATTTTTAAAGGTTTTCTGGAACAATGAAGCTCATAATCTGAAACCCAAATGGGCCGTTTCAGCCTTCAGCTGAGGTGTAACAAACCGCAGGCGGCTCCGAGAGAACGGCACGGCTTAAAGAGCAATTAAATAAATGAATGGGCATGATACATGGTGGTTTTAACATTTAGTGTCTGTATAAACAGATGTTTTACGTGCATGCATTCAGGATAAAGCACTTGTCCAGTGATGCACACATGATAAATCGGCGCTGGACCTGTTACTTAAAGGGCAGCTTATGTAAACGTGTGTGTTATACAGACAGGAAGGTGAGATCAAACCTGAGATTAGTTGCGGAGTGTGTGGAGAGTGTTTTCCTGTTGGAGTGTTCACTGTCCATTAGTTAAGAGCTTCAGGATACTACATGTGCAAACATTTGTGAGGGTTTATTGAACATGTTGTCCTTGTGAGAGCTGCTTACGTAGGCATCATAATCATCCAATGGGTGGTTCAGAATGTGGGGAGCAAAATTATGTTGCATTTATCCTTTGGAAAAATCAAGCTTAGATTTGATGCCTGTTTTTGGAACATGGTAGATGGTTTCTTTCTTGCTGGTCTGAGCTGGAAATTAGCTGGTCATTGACTGGTCGACCAGCCAACTTGTTCCAAAACCCACCTTAAACTAGTATCAGGTTGGTTTGTTGCAGATAATGCCTTGGACAAGCTTACCTGCTGAAAAGAACATCTTAAACCAACCTAAATAATTTAGTAAGTCTCCCAGCTTGGCCAAGATTTACTAGTTGTGTTTAGAACATGGTAGATGGCTTCTGGCTGGTCTAAGGTGGAAATTAGCTGGTCACCAACCAGCTTGTTCCAACCCCCACCAGGAACTAGTATGAGGTGAGTTTGTTACAGATAATGACCAATTTGGACCAGCTAATGACCAATTTTCCTGCTGCAAAGAACCTGTTAAACCAGCCTAAATGGTAAATGGCTTGCTTGGTTTAGTAAGTCTTCCAGTCTGGCCATTATTATGTTAATTAGATAATTTCTGTATATTAATTAAAAAAAATATTGCACATTGTCATTTGTTTTTCTCCAAACAATATGCAAATTCAAGGCTATGAAAAACAATGTAAACTATGCTGTATGGTGTGCAAAAATTATGCTGCATTATAAGATTTGGCAGCATTGCATTTATTCTTTGCAAAAATCAAGCTTAGCTTTGGTATTTGTGTTTGGAACATGGTAGATGGTTTCTAGCTGGTAATTAGCTGGTCATTGACTGGTCAACCAGCCAGCTTCTTCCAAAACCTACCTTAAACTAGAATGAGGTTGGTTTCCTCCTGAAAAGAACATTTTAAATCAGCTTAATTGGTGATTTGCTTGTCCTGGCTGGTTTAGTAAGTCTCCCAGCCTTGTCCATGGTGATGGTTATCAGATAATTGGTTTGCTCAGCTGGTTTAGTAAGACCCCCAGTAAGTCTGGCCAAGATGATGTCAATCAGATAGATTAATCAGGTAATTGGTAAATGGTTTGCTTCAGCTGGTTTATCTGGTTGGCATCCCACACTGACCAAAATGGCCAAAACCAGCCTGGGCTGCGTTTCCCAAAAGCGTTGCAAGCTTAAGTACATCGTACACCCATTGAAACCAATGGAGCTGCGATCAACTTAGGCTTACGATGCTTTTTGGAAACGCAGCCCTGACCAGTCTGTTGTAGTTCAGTAGGGTGTAATAGCATTGTGTGTTGTTGTTACTCATGTGTCCTGCTGTGTTTTCAGGGCCATCTACTTCGCCGCCTATTCCAGCTCAAAGGAGAGACTGAACTGTGTGTTTGAACCAGACTCCACACAGGTGCACATGACGTCTGCTGGAATTGCAGGTAACTTCCTTTATATTTGACCACGCAATCTAACTACATCCTGTTTCCTCAGTTTTGATGGGCTCATAAAATTTAAACCGTTTATTGCTTAATTGCATGTGTAGATGTGTCTAGTGAATTGGATTTGCAACCGTTTATTTTTGTTCCATGCTGTATCAGGCCAGTAAATGTCACAGAGCTCAAGCACTCAATAAAGATCCGGCACATGGCCAGAAGAGAGTGTGTGTCTCTTCTCGAGAAGGGTCTGGCTGCAGACATTTACTTGCATTCTCAGACTTGCACTCTCAGACACCTGCACTTCCGCTAGTGACGTGCAGTTTGCAGTTTTTTTTTTTTTTTTTTACATTTATTTTATTTTTATTTTTTTTGTTGAATCTCTCAACATTTTACAACATTAGCCAGGTGGTGAAGACAAGAAAAAAGAAACTAAATTACAATGTCACTTGCAATCATCACTTGCACTCTCCGATACCTGCGACGTCGTGCGTGTTGCCAATGGAGACGAGACGCTGTGGTGGTTAAACGATTAAAACTAATTTAGTACCATAACATACAGGGTACTGCACGTCATCTGTAGGAGAAAAACGTAATGCATTAAGTCATATTAAGTGTGTTTTTCTATGGGAGGAAAGACTTTGCACATTGCGTTCATATTCTGCGGCCACGGATTTGCTATGCTATTATTATTGCTATGCTTTCTGTTGTTTAATGGTGACACTATCAGGATGACCCTTTTTGTAAAATTCACTGTTTTTGTTGTTTTTTTAAAAGTATGAGGTTGGTAAGATTTATTAGTCTTTTAAAAAGAAGTCTCTTATGTTTCCTAAAACTGCATTTATTTAGTCCAAAATACAGTAAAACCGCTAACATTGTGAAGTGTTACAATTTAAAATGTTGTTTTCTTATTTTATATATTTTAAAATCACACAATCGTTCAGAAAATATTCTAATATGCTGATTAGCAGCTCAAGAAACATTTCTTATTGTTATCAATGTTGAAGTTCACTGCTTCATATTTTTGTGGAATCCATGATACTTTTTTTTTTTTTTCAGGATTCTTTGATGAATAAAAGTTCAAAAGAATAGCATTTATTAGAAATGCAAATATTTTGTAAAAATGCAAAAGTCTTTCAGTTTTGATCAATTTAGTGCATCCTTCCTGAACAAAAGTATTCATTTAAAATAAACGCAAAATCTTGCTGACCCTTTTTGACGACTTTTGAAAGGGAGTAAGTTTTTTTTCGGTTTAGTAAATTTGCATCTTAATCTTTCCTTTTCTTCTCCAATCAGGGTTCACGGCCATAACAGCAACCAACCCGATTTGGTTGATTAAGACGCGTCTACAGTTGGACGCCAGGTAAAGTGGCAACTGATATGTGACATTATGTACAAGTAGATTGTTTGATTAATATCCTTAGTGACTGATTCCTTAGTTACAGATTATAGTTTTAACGTGATCTAGTGCTCATTATTCATGATTCCAGACTAAGTTTTGTATTTGACTCACTTAAGCGTGTTTTGTTCTTCACAGGAAGCGCGGGGAGCGTCGCATGAATGCTTTCGAGTGTGTGCGGCGTGTGTATCAGACGGATGGGCTACGTGGGTTTTACCGCGGCATGTCTGCGTCTTATGCAGGCATCTCAGAGACCGTGATTCACTTTGTGATCTATGAAAGCATAAAACGGCGTCTTTTAGAGGCCAAAGCAGCAACGCACATGGATGGGGCTGAGGACACCGCCAAAGACGCGTCGGACTTCGTGGGCATGATGCTGGCAGCCGCCACTTCCAAGACCTGCGCCACCTCCATAGCCTATCCACACGGTGAGCATGTGCTTGGGCATTTTCCCATCAGAGCACCATATCATCATAAAATCAGCATGAAACGTCATTCACAACCTATTTTACTTCCATAATGTGACCCCATTCAAAAGGTTTCAATGCTTTTATTAAGCTAGGATGCATTAAATTTATCAAAAATGACAGTACAGACTTTTACAGTGTTTCTGAGGGTCTTAAAGTCTTAATTTACCCTATTTAAAGTCTTAAATTTATAAAGACGTGGCATTAAATGTTGCATGCATTGTAAAAAATGTCTTACTCAGTATCTTAAAAAAATCTGACTTGGTATTTATTTTCAATACAACCATTTAAACCTCTTTAAATCCATACGTAATATATAATCCATAATACGTTTACTTGAGAAAGAAAGAAAGAAGTCATGTTTTTTGCAGAATTAAGTGAGTTTATGTTTAAAAATAGAACAAATATCTGTCAGTGGTGTATGAAAACTTGTTTTTCCTTTAAATTGAATAGAAAATGAAAATGTTATTTACTCACCCTCATGTTGTTCCAGCCTTGCATGAAACAACATTTGGGTGAGTAATACATGGCATAATTTTGATTCTGGGTGAGCTATCCCTTTAAGTTGATTTTTCTGAGCCTATTGGCATATATATGTCCTTTTGTTTTAATCATAAACTCACTAAATTTGGATCAGTTTAACAGAAAACAAGTTTTGCTTCTCATGTAAATTTCTTGATTTAAGAATCTGTAGACATTTGCACTGGAAAACAAGACAAAATACTAAGGAAGAACACATTTTTTGCAGTGTGATCAGAAAGTAGAGTAAAAGTTACTTCAATATTCTAGTGATTGGGAACTGTTCTTTAAATTGCAAAAACATTCCATTTTCAATAACATGTGTAATCAAATAAATGCAGCCTTGGTGAGCATAAGAGACTTGTTTTGAAAAACATTTAAAAAAAAAAATCTTACTGACCTCAAATGTTTGAATTGTGTATATGTATAAAAAAAAAAAAAAAGATACAAACCGTATCATTTGGGTTTCAAGTTGGCTCATAATGGTTTGTAACCAATTCTGAGCATTTGTTTTTCTCTGTTTGGTTCTGCAGAGGTACTCCGTACACGGCTAAGGGAAGAAGGTACCAAGTACCGCTCGTTCTTCCAGAGTCTCAGCCTGGTGATTAGAGAGGAAAGCTATCGAGCTCTTTACCGAGGACTCACCACACATCTGGTCAGACAGATCCCCAATACGGCCGTCATGATGTGCACCTACGAGTTCGTCGTCTACCTGCTCGAAGGCTAAACTTTGACTTGAGGTGCCTCTGTATTCATGGACGAAGAGTTCTGTGCTTTCATTCACAATTTGGGAGTGTCTTCTGAGAGGATGGTGTTGGGAGAAAAAGGGGAAATGACTAAAAAGGTGGTGTCTAGAAAGCAATGTTCTTGGTTTTTCTTAACTTTCTGTCTTTTAATGTTCTTTAAAATGATGCTGCTTCTAAAAAGCCTTGCCAGTCCGTTCACCTTTAGCCTCCTCAGAGTGTTTGTCCCTCTCAAACAGCACCTCACATCAGATAGATCTTGTATGTGGATTCCGCAGGTTATTTCTGTCAGAGAAGCTGTTCTAATGTTGGCAGGTCATTGAGGGGTTTGTCCGGCCCGTTGCTGTGCTGTAATGGTGATCAAAGCTTCACTGGATTTTCTCAAGCTTTGAGCTGGAAAGGAATTGGAGAGGATTCAAACTGAGGCTTGCTTCCTGTCTAGGAACAGCCAATCGGGGTGCGCTTACACCATGCAATGCAAAAGCAAAAAGATCTTACTTGGATGCATATACCTGAGACTGTGTGCACACATGAATGCAAAAAAAGATGTCTAAGAGTGAGTTTAATTGTTTGGACACTGCAGGTGGTTGTGTGCTAATCTCAGAGTGTCATATTTGTGTTTGCTGCCCATATTTGACCTTAATACATGAATGTAACAATCATTGCAGCCAAAATAGGTTGTTAGCACAAAAATACTTTAATAAATATATGTACTCTGCAGGAAAATTACTAATGAAAGAAGGAATAATCATTCAAAATTGAAAAAAAGAAAAGCAAGTATTATGCAAGAAAGACATTGCACTGTAACACAAGAAGTTTATTTTTTTTGGCGGACATGTTGCACCCCATCCCAAAAGCACACAATGAGCACAAAAAAAATTGAAGAGAGTTTGTGGCCATAGAAAAGAGTCTTATGCTGCAAAAGAAAACAGCATTTTTGTCTTTTTGCAGTAAAAATACCAAGACATCCTTTGAATAAGATCACTTTGCTTGAGAAGCAAAATTGCGTTAGATATTAAGACATTAATTCAAGATATACTGTCTAAACTATTATCATTATTAAATCATTATAATTATTACAATATAATATTTCAGCATAAATCTGTTTTGTTAGATTTATATTTGACTCATTGGCAAATTTTTATTTTAAGAATAAATTGCTGTGTATATTTACTGCGAATTTCTGTCTTTATATCTATATTTATATTCATATTTATATTTTTGTTTCTCAATTTCAAGTGAATTGATCTTATTTTATAAGAATGTTTTAGTTTTTTTCATGAAAACAAGACTAAAATACTGCCAAAGAATGTTTTTGCTGTGCAGACAGAAAAAGTTATTAAAATATAAAATATCAAGGTGTCAAAATTCATGCTTTCTCTTTATGATGCAGTTGTGTATCTTGTTCTCTCACACGTATGACTTTATGATATGTCACGAGTCCAGTGTTGTTGTTGTTTTTTTTCCCTCCAGTGTTTGGTTGTTTTGTTTACAGTCAGTTTGGTGTGACCTGCTCTGTTGTCACTGTTCGTTAGGACATTAATATTCAGCAGTTGATCATATGGAAAAATAAATGCATATAAGAAAACAAAGATGGGCATGCTTATTTTGGTTTGGATGGAGATTCTGGGTTTTTCTCTTAAAGATGACTCCCTAAACAAAGTTCGGAATTTCTGATATGTCTGTGTTTTTAGACGTGTCCTTCATAATGCTTTTCTTTGCTTTATTTTTACTTTCTCACATGCATTTTTTTTTGACATTTTTGTTTAACACATGGAAAATCAATTTTACCCACATTTGAAGACGTTCCCAGCTTCACTCAACACATTCATCTGTCTTTTAAAGACATTTCAATCTCAGCATTCAGAGAGGTTTTGGAGGACGTCTGTCAACAGCAAACAGCCAGGATTTCTCAAGAAGTCTGAATCGTTTAATATGTTGTATTATCATTCATATTCTGTTGGAGTTAACCAACAAATTAACCGTGCACTTGTTTTGTTTTCTGTCTTCAGTTTCAAATGTCTATGTTGCAAATCCTCCAGAACTTAAGACCCAAAATGATTTTTTGCAGTGTAAGTTGAACTTAAGTTTCTTCAAGGCAAGCACTCATTAATTGATAAATATCAGTGGATATGGTCTGTTACAACGTGACCGTTTTTTGTAACCAAATTTGTAGACCTGTAGATTTATTTTATTTTAGATTTTAATTTTAATAAAGGATTTGTAGTGGCAAGAACGTTTTTTTTTTTTGTTTTGTTTTTATGTGAATTGACTGGCCAGCAATGAGAGCAATGACAGTGTTTTTTTTTTGTTTTGTTTTCTGGAAAGACATTTTGTCATCTGAACAATCGTTATGTTGTTAAACAAAAATTGGACTCACTGGACAGTATTCTATCCGTACCAGCCTCGTTTTAATTTCTGTCAAAAACTACATATTTTACCATGACTAAGGTCTAATGACATTCTTTGAGACAGTCTGGGTATGAGTTCCAAGCAATCTGTAAAACAATGTTTTTGTTTTACTGATGTGGCTAATATTCCTATGGAAGCCTGTTACTACCACAAGATAAAATTAAATAATTTCTTTCTTGCAATTCTGAGTTTGTATCTCGCATTTCTGACTTTTTTCTCTGAATTCTAAATTTTACATCTTGCAATTCTGTTTTTTTTTCTCTGCCATTGAGTATAAAATAAAAAGGTAATTGCAACTTTTTTTTCTTGCAATTGTGAGTTTATATCATAGAATTCTAACTTTTTTCTCAGAACCGTGAGAGTCAGAATTGCAAGATAAAAAGTTGCAATTACCTTTTTTTTCACATAGGCCTATTCCTGCCCTTTGTTTATAGTATTTCCTCTGCATCTATAGTGGGGGAGATTGTTTGATTATGGAGGACGAAACCTGCAAAAACAATAAATACACAAATAAATAAATATGCAAATAAATAAATAAATGTCTGTATAAATACACAAATTCTTGTTTAAATACATATAGAAATAATTAAACGTGATTAAAGGGGTCATATGATGCTATTTTAAAGATCATTATTTTGTGTATTTGGTAAAAGTGGAACTACATTCAGAAATAAATTAATGATCAAAGGAAAATAGTTAGGATGAGTTTAGCATTTCCTTAAACATTTTCCATTTGCCCACCAATTTATATTATTTATTTGCCTACTTTCATCACATGTATAATTATTTATTTATGTATTTAAACAAGAATACGTGTATTTATGCACACATGTATTTATTTATTTGTGTATTTATTTATTTATTGTTTTTGCAGGTTTCGTCCTCCATATTTGATAGACCTACTGAGCGCTGAGATTTGGCAGCTGTAGATTACCGCAGTTGCGCATTAAAGTATGTGTTAGTTTTTTGTTTTATAATATTACAATGTGAGTTGTGAGGCTGGCAATTAATGTGTTGTTTCTTTTTCAAGGGGCAGCAGCCACTATTTCTTATTGTGCTTTTAAGTTTTCTTTTGTTTGGTTTACCTTTGTTAGTGAGATATAGCCTATAGGTCCTGTACTGAACTGCATTTAATAATGTTTGCATTGTATGTTTGTTTTTGTTATTTGCGTTGTATTGCTCTCCTCTGTTTGTGTGTTACATTGTGGCTTTGTACAGGACTGACGATTCTTGTGGTGCTCTGTGTATGTAATGGTAATTAAGAGCATTTTGCTCATTGTTTGAGGTACTACTTGCTGTGGGTTTTCTGCTTTCTTCTCTTTCTCTGCCCTCTACAGGTGGCAAAACGAAGCAGTGTGTGTGTGTGTGAGCAGGCCTGACCTTTCTTGCATGTTGAAGAAAGCTTTCCCCTCCTCTTATGAATTCTATAGACTTACAGATGTTTTAATTGATGTTTTAATATGAGAAGATCTGTGTTAGGATAATAATTTTTTTTGTATTGATGTTACAACTCTTGAGTTGATTCTTTCAGCTTTGCTGTGCTGAAAGTCCTTTGGTGTTCCCAGACAAAAGTGACCAGCCTTAAAAATTGCTTGTCAATCTCTTATTATGCTGTATTATCACCAATTCTTTCATTCAAACTTTTTATCATCTTCTCCATAGTAACTATTAGATTTTAAAGGTGACAAAGGCTATATTGTTTTTGTTATTAAGTGCTTTTGCTTTGAAAAAGGAATGGGATAATTATATTTCTGAATAGATTACCTTTTTTCTTAACACTCGTAGTTATTATTACTCTTATAACACTCTCTCTTTCCTTTGGGACAGCGCACAAGCTCATTTTGTTTACGCACTGAAAACCAGGAAGTATTTGAATTCAAGAGAAATGAAACCTAATTCACCACTAAACGCGTACTTCAACCTCAATACATCCGCGCCGCTGTTCTTTTGGGGCAAAGCTGTGTAAAGTAAGTAATATTTGAGTAGTGTTTCTGTCGAAGTAGGTAAGGACTTGAAAATATCCAAAGTTAACCGCTTTGTCATATTGTCTGCTTTTAAAAAGAAGTCACGCGAAATGATTTATTTGTGCGTGTGTACAGTATACTGAGCATTTCTACTTCTGTATGTTGTAACAGGCCTGGTGAAACAAAAGTATCGTTGAAACTGAATAGTTTTAATCGGTTACAAAGTATTCTACAAAAACTTCACTTATTATACCACACATTTCATATTTCTGTGGTGATCATGATTAAAAAGACTATTCTGGACTAAATACAAGTTCTATTGACAACATTGGTCTGCTGTTGATTAGCATAGAACAGAATTTGTTCTCACAGTTAAAAAGCTGTGATTAAATAGGTTGTTACCATTAGTTGTGGAAACTTTTCACTCAAATAAATGTTTGGTTAGGTACTTGGACTTTGTAAAATCTTTATAGAGTATTCATACTTTTATTTTTTCAACTTTTATACACCTGTTTGTTCACTGTGTATGCCTGGAATGGAAATAAATCAAACTGACACTAAATGTATTAAAATGGAATAAAACTATAGAAAAAGTGTCTTTTTAGGTAGACTAGATTGTCTATCCATTTTCCTATCGCGGTTTACTGGAATTCTGACAGAAGATGTTTGACAAATAATATGTTTTCTTGGCAAAACAGCCCTTTTTACAGGATAGAGGCTGAGAATCTGTTCATCTTTGAGAAGACTGCAAAGAAATGGCCGAATCTGCAGCGTGTCAGTATGAGGATCAGTTCATCTGTTCAGTCTGTTTGGATCGGCTGAAGGAGCCGGTGACGATTCCCTGTGGACACAGTTACTGTATGAGCTGCATTACTGACTGCTGGGAGCAGAAGGAGCAGGAGCCGCCGTACCGCTGTCCCCAATGCAGAGAGAGCTTCAGTCAGAGACCTCTACTGAAGAAGAACACTCTGATAGCTGAGATGATGGAGACGCTGCAGAAGACGTCTCTACAAACGGCTGCTGTGGAGTGTGATGTTTGCACTACAGAGAAGAACAGAGCTGTAAAGTCCTGTCTGCAGTGCTTGGCCTCCTTCTGTCAAACTCACCTGCAGCCTCACTATCAATCTCCTGCGTTTATGAAGCACAAACTAGTCGAAGCCTCCAGAAGCATTCAGGAGAACATCTGCCTCCGTCATGAAAAACCTCTAGATATTTACTGTCAGGATGATGGTCAATGTGTTTGTTATTTGTGTATGATTGATAACCATGATGGCCACAGAGTGGTGTCTGTGGATTCAGAATGGACTAGTAAAAAGGTATATATTTATCTATAAATGAAAAAAATATATACAAATATACAAATATTGTAAGTAATGATTATTTTTA